CTCTGTCTCTCTCTCTCTCTCTGTCTCTCTCTCTCTCTCTCTCTCAAATGAGAAGCAGGGCAGGACAAGAGGAATGACTGTCTGAGAGGGCTCAAAGATCCGCATAGGATCTCATTGCTGTGGCAACAGGGCAGTTCTTTACTGTCCTCCATTCAAAGCTTCCCTGCACTAGTCACTCCATGTTCAGATCTACGTCACAGGCAGGCATGGTCTCCCTCTTGTGGGCACACGTGATCGCTCCCAGTTCATAAGTGCAGGGACATAGGAACCCGTGACGTACTTTGGAAGGTGTGGCTGCTGTTCATCTTTGCTGAAGAGGTGTGCAGCCTTTTTAGCTTCGCGGTATTCATTAGCAAAAAAACAAGCAAGGAAAAACAGTATAGAGGGAAGCGTAGGAGAATGCGAGATGGAGTGTGTGAAGAGCAAACAGTTATAAAGGACACCAGCGACAAGAAGAGCATCTCTCTCTGGTGTTTCTCACAGCTGGGCCACAGGTATTCCCCACCCGGACATCAACATAAATTAAAATCATTCTGAGATCACATCTGCACAAACCACAAGGGACACTCCATGAGTTACAGAACTGCAAAATGTGCCCCTGTCCTGTCAGGCATGAACATCTGCCACGGTTTTACAAAGCACAGCAGCTTCCCTGTTCACTCTGCTTTTGTCCTAGATAGAATTGAGATACTCAATCACAGAGTGCACAGCTTTTTACCAGTGCTTGTACAGAATAGACTTCTGCTCTTAAACTTATCCCTAAAGCACCTAGAACAAAGCCAAATCCCACAAAAGTCTTTTGACAATCTGTAGCCGAGAAAGCCCATGGTGCACATCTGTAGCTGAGAAAGTCCATTATGCACAATATCCTTTGTTGGGAGCCATGCAGCCTAGTCTCAGATCAGCACATGACTACCTGTCCAACGGGTTTCCTCAGGACAAGGCACCTGTAGAAATGGACTCTCACTTGGCAAGGACCACTAGTCCACGGGACAGCCTAGGAATTTGCAAAATTCCTGCAGCTTGTAGGCTCTTTTCTCTCTCATTATATTGGTGATTCTTTGGGCAGTTTTTAGTTTTACTTTGTCAGTCACACATGCAACAGTTCTAATTTCCCTGGAAATTCTGCTTTCTCCTAAGATTCAACAGGGGGCTAATGCTTCTCAAATCTCTTATCTGGAATTACTACCTACAACTCCTAATCCTGGGAACTTTTCTAATTCAATAGAGACAGTTAGGTACACGTGAGAAAATGACACTTGGAACATTAACCATGTCTCACAGTTCTGGAAAGGAGAGCAGGGCATGCATACACAGACTAGGGAAAAAACCCTCAGGGATACACATGGTGCCAGCTGTTGAGAGTAAGTGCCCTGGACTCCAAGCATAGAATCATTGGTAGGATCTGGTATGCTGCAAGAGGAAAAAATACAATGCAAAAATGTGAGATGGATAGATCCATCTTTACCGTACATAGGAGCTTATATTGGCTGAAGAAACATGGATGGGAAAAGAGTGCTTTGTCAAAGTCTGCCTTTTACAGAGAGATTGAGACATGAGACCCTCTTGTAGAAAAGGGAACTGTATAAGAATGTATCTTACAGACAAGAAAGGATTGTCTAAGTTTGAATATTGTCCTTAAAGCATTGTGTCCATGTCTATTACATTTTAACTTTGTAACCACAGTAACTGCCAGCTGACGTGCTGCAGAGCAGAATGTGTCTGGCTCGGTATTTAGTTAAGTCTGCAAAATGCTGGACTCTATGTGTAGACTAAGGTTGTGCAGGGGTGGGAAGGTGTATTTGGGGAAGCATAAAGGGGACCAATGGGGGTTTTCATAAGGATCATGATGCTTTTCTTAAATTGTGTTGTATTTCTTAAAGTTAAAAATAGAAGCCAATAATAAAGCTGTTCATGCAACCTTGGTAAGAAGAACTCTGTTTAAGTATAAATAAAGATGGCTTGAGCTATTAGGGGCCACTTGAGTGCAATCCACTTGATGGTTAGAGGTTTTCCTTGCACTGACACTCCTTCCCCACCTCAGGACCTGAACCTGAGTCAGGGCTGGACCCTGGCAACCCTTGCTATCTTAAGTAGGGTAAAGAACTAAAATCCAAAATTAAATTGCTTATTAAACTTCGAGTATATGTGTGTTCTTAATGGTTTTTGCTTGGAAGAGACAACCCTGTAGAAAAGAGAATGAAGCTCGAAATCTTTTTTTTCTTCTTCTTTAGATGCAAAACCAGAACTTCAGCCAGAATATATGGTTGGTCTAAACTCTCAGGCATGAGTTAAAACCAAGCCTTCTGATCTCAAATCTCAAGCAAGGCCTTTCCGATGGTCCCTTTAGGTCCCCTGCTTCTGAGGTAAGAACACCACTGAGCAGTCATCCTGGAGAAGGCGAAGACCCCATCTTCACAGGCTGTCACTGTAAATGCGCCGTATGCTGTGAGTAGGGACCCAACAAAGGCACAGACTACCCCATAGCCAAGGTGGCACTGTCCTCTTTCACAGCAGAGGGGACTGAGTATATAAGGCAGGAGAACCTGGCCAGGAAGTGTCAGAGCTGGGAATCCACCTTAGCAAGGAGATGATGAGCAGGTAGTTTTCATGGAAGGTAGAGAGACCATTATCTTGTTAGCCTGTTGGGGTGAGGTGGATTTCAGGTGGGGTCACCAGAGTGGAAGCAGCATCAGAAAGGCCCAGAGATCCAGAACAAACACATGCCTTGTCTGTGTGTAAGCAGGTGACAATGTACACGGACAAGGAACTCTTGTAGCACAACAGCCCTATGAAAGCCTGGAGGGGAAGCTGTTCACATGGACAGCACTTGGCTGCTCTGTGCTTAGCTGGCATCTTGACAGCCCATCCAGATGTCTTTCCCCTTCACAGCCTGTTTCCGGGAATGGCAGGGTCAGGGTCTGAAAGGCAGTTTTCTGACCTCGGAACTAAGTACACAAAAGCAAAAAAAACAGACACTGTGATCAAAGACAGCACCTTCAGTGTGACCTGGCTCGGACTATTGATCTTACCTTTTGCCATTGAACCAGCGTCGGGGGGGAAGCTCTGGCTTCAAATAACAAGAGACGTAAGGATACTGAAGAGAAACAAGTCAAGCTGCTTCCAGTCTTTTCTACGCCCTGAAGCAATAGGCATTTGCGTTAGCCGTGCGGCTGAATACCACCCTAAACAGTTTGACACTCACGGGGATACATCTGCAGGAGCTAAGGAAACTAGGTCCTTCGTAAGCCCGATTCTGGCTGGAAGGGACCTGGAAGGGCATCTCAACCATATTTATTCTGGTGTTTGGTGGCCTCCACCACACCACCCGAAGTCTCTGTGTGAGACTCTCACAGTGGGTTCCCTCAATACTCCTGGCTAATATGGCTTTTTCACTGCAGCTGCTGTGTTTAGATCTGAAATGCCTCCAAAGGTCCTTGTGTTAAAGACTGAGTGTCCAGCCTGGGGCACTATTGGCAGGTACCGAAACCATTAAGATACGGAGACTGGTAAGCAGTTTTAGGTAACTGAATAATACTCCTAACTAGATTGTGGGAAGCTGGTCTTTTCCCTCATCTTCTCATTTTCCGGCTGTAAGATAGATAAGCTGTCTTCTGCTTTTAGTTCCCACCACTTGACATTGCCTCATCACAGGCACAGAAGCCAGAGGAAAAACTGACCATAAAGTCAAAGTGAATTTTTTCTTCATTGTAAGTCAATCATCTCAGGTATTTTACTAGAGTAGTGAAAAACGGGCGGACACAGAAAAACAGCTATTTGGAAATGTCCAGGGGCCAGTGGGATGGCCCAGTGAGTAAAGGCACCTGCAGCCAGACTTGACGACCTGAGTGTGAGTCCCACAGCCCATATGGGAAGAAGAGACTCCCACAAACTGCCCTGTGTCTTCTGACTTCTATATGTGTATCATGGCATGCACATGTGCCCACACACACATGCACACAAGCATACACAAATAAATAAATGTAAAAGAGAAATGTAGTTCAGAACTTACTGAATTGTACTTCTTAAATGTATTGTGCCATTTCTACTATTCTGTCCCAACCAACCAACAAAGCAAGACTATTTGCTCACAAGATATTCACTGTCTTCTCCTTCTAACACCACAGAATAATTATTGAATGATTCCAGCTACATGCTCCATCTGAAATATTTAACTTCTTAGAGACAGAAAGTAGACTCGCAGTTATCAGTGGTGCTAAAGAGGGGAGTGTTGGGTTGCTATTGTTTAATGTGTAGAGTTTCAGTTTGGGATGAGAAATATTGTTGGAGATAGGTTCTGGCAACCTCATAAACAGCATAACTGTTCTTACTGTCTCACGCTGTTAATAATGGTCAAATGATATGTTGTATACATTTTACCACAATAAAAATGACTATAATATAATGTATTGTAATCAATACAAACAAACACAGCCTAAGGTAAGGGGATCAGGTAGAACTATTTTAGGTAAGATCACAGTAAATTTCTTCTAGACAAGAATCCTTTAATAGAGGAGAAAGAGCCAGAGAGAAGAGCACTAAAGAGGGAGGATATCCCAGTTAGAAGACAGTAGTGTGGAGTCTAGAAGTGTTCTTCACTTATTGACAGCAACAAAAATGTCCAATGTCCTTTATACTGTACGCATGTGCATGTGTATATAGTGGGCTTGCACACAGTGTATGCATGTGTGTGTGTGTGTGTGTGTGTGTGTGTGTGCGTGTGTGTGTATACAATGGGTGTGCACAGAGCATGTGTATGCTTGGGTATGTGTGTATTTCTGTATTGGAAGCAAGGAAACTGGCAGGACTAACCACTTCAATCTACATATTATGGTAACTCAGTCATGAGAATTAACAAAATGGATGTCAATGGAAGGGGCAAAGGGGCTGCATTAAGGCAGACTGCCATGCCACACTCATTGGAGGCCTCTGGGAAATCCTCCCAAGGAGCATACAGTACAGTCCTAAAGAGAGTTGTTTATTAATCTGGGGTTGAAGGTCAGCTGGGATTATCCCTATTTATCAGGGTTGGCTCCTCCCTTACTTTGAGGCATCTGCCGTATTTCCAGGTTGAGTGGTGGCTTCCTTGCCACTGAATCCTTGCTGTGCCAAAGCCCTGCAAGTCATTTCTGGTGAGTGGGTTTGGGTTCCTATATCCACAGTCTAGGGATTTGTTCATCTCCGGAGGTCTGAGGTAAGAGGCAGGTCAGGCAGAAATCATGTTGGTGGCAGTACTTTCTCTGCTTGCTGGGACATGAGTTTTCTCAATTATGTTGGCAAAGAAGATGTTACAAAGGGAGTGCCCTGGGATCTGAGATCTAAAGGATGGGGATGTTGTGGTTTCCTAGAGAGGAAGAGCTGGGAGAAAGTCTTGAAGGACAGATGTGGTGTTGAGAGAGGGATTCTAGACAAGTTTGTCTAATTGTCAGCAGTTTTGGCACACAGAATCTAGGAAGTAGAGAGGAAGTCTACTGGAGAGAAATTTATGGAGAAAATGCTTTCCCCAGTAACCCTGTTTTGCTGTATGGAAATGAACTGCCAAGAAGTGCACTCAAGCTCATTCTGGGCTGGGCTAGCAGACTTACTACAGGATTGGGGTCTGGCCCTGTCTCTTGTTATCACTAGTTTATTGTTGTAAACTGGGGAAAGGGTAATTAACTGTCCTTGGGGAGAGTTGGGGGAGTCTGTTGGAGTCCAGCTCTGACCTGTGGAAGGGTTCTTTGGGGAAGGAGAGAAGAATGAGGAAGTGTTAGATTGAAATACAGGAGGAGATGACAAGAAAGACACAGGATAACTTTAGGAGGGCCCTGGGTCAATACCCAGCTGCCTCAAGGTTTATTCCAAAGGGCTTTTTATACAATGTCAAGAGGCAAGGCAAAAGATCTCCCCCTTTAAAGATCAAAGCACATTATACAGCCAAGTGTAAACCCTTCAAAACACCTGGTAAACATGCCCATGGCCAAATCATCCCATTATGCAGCACTGCTGGGTAAAGCAAGCCCAGATTCTTTGACCCTGAGTAAGGTCTCACTAGGGAGCCTCTGTGAGCCCCCATAGAAAGTCATCCGTTCTAGTGTAAAAATAGGATTTGGGCTGCAGGTGGTGTCCAAGGGTATGTAGGCACTCACAATCTGTCTACAGTGATACCAGAGACCTGGGCCCTAGTGACCTCTCTCAGCAGGGCCTTCACTGCATGTTATGCTGTTATGCCTATTTTTGTTAAAATACCAACTGCATAGTATCATAGGGAGTGCTTGCTTTTCAAAATACCCAGTATGGGCACTAGGAGTAATTCATCTGTACAATGTCTGTCCCCAACTTATAAGACAGAGGTCAGGTTGGTAATATATGTGCTGATTAACTGAAAAGGATGAGATAATCTTTCATGATTTTCTCCACACCAAGGTGAGGACCATGTTCCTGTTTCCATCTTTCCTTCTCCTGGGTGTGGTAACAGCATCTTATGCAGAGCCTGTAACTGAAGGTGTTCAAAGCTCCTGCCCTGTGATTACCTGTAGTTCTCCATGCCTGAATGGCTTCCCAGGCAAGGATGGACGGGATGGTGCCAAGGGAGAGAAGGGAGAGCCAGGTGTGTATTGAACTGTTTTCTTTGCTCTTAAAAATAGTTTTGATTATGTATGGTGTGTGTGTGTATGTGTGTGTGTGTGTGTGTGTGTGTGTGTGTGTCCATGTTTGTGCACTCCTTTGAGTGCAGCTTACTTTGGAGACTAAGGACATACAGTATCCTCCTGGAGCTTGGAGTTACAGGCAGTTGTGAGCTACACAGCATGGATGCTGGGAACTGAACTCAGGTCCTCTGCAGTAGCATTACATGCTCTTAACCACTGAGCCATCTCTCCAGTCCCTTTCTGTGACTTTACATTCCAGAGGAAACTGACTAGAGATGCATGAAAAGTAAAGTCTTATTAGGCATATTGTACTTTGATCAGCAACATACTGTAATTCCAAACATATAAAGCTCCAGTTCTCTGGCATTCTGGACTACCGCACAGAGTGTGTGATGTTTGTCTTGCCTGTCCTGGAAAGTGGACCTCATGTCAATCTGTCTCATGGAACACAGGACACTTACCTCACCACAGGAAATTAAGCATCAAGCCTTTGGAAAAAGAGCAAAAGCATAAATATTGACCCAAGTTTTGTTTGTCTTCCTACAGGTCAAGGGCTCAGAGGCTTGCAGGGCCCTCCTGGAAAGGTAGGACCAGAAGGATCCCCAGGGACTCCTGGGCCAAAGGGAGCAGTGGGGCCGAAAGGAGACCGTGGAGAGCGTGGGGGTAAGGAGATCATTTCAGAACATCTAGGCTGACGACATTCAGGGTTCTGGAGGCTAGAATACCGGTGGGGTATGCTGTTTCTTGATGCTGCAAGGGTAGATGCCCAGCTCTGCTTCCTGATCAAGTTCCCTTATCATTGGTTGGTTAATTACAGCCTCAGGGAGTTTCTATCAGTGACTAAGTATATATTTGCAGATCTTTCAGGAAATCCTATTTTCAGGCACTCTGTAAGGTATGGAAGTCCAGATTCTCTTTTTGCTCAGACTCCTACAGCTGGGTCTCTGACTTCAAGGAGAAAATACTGTATCTAAGTGTGGGTTTATTAGTCTGTTTTACTTAAAGTGCATTGACAGGCATGTGGACTATATTTCACTTCTAAGAAACCAATCCAAAACTCAGTAGGTTAAACTACAGCCATTTACTTAAACAGAACCTCATGGGTCAGTCACAGGAGGTCTGATTTCAGCTGGGCTTGCACTTATGCCTGTGGTTTACTGATGGCCAATGGTCTCGCCCACACTCTGGCTTCCGTTTGGGTGTCAGCTGCTGTGATAAGCGCCAGTGAACCACAGCGTTTTTTATCACACCATAGGCTATCCAGGGCTTGGCCAGGTAGTGGTGAATATACAGTTCCTAAGACAGTAGCTTCAAGGCTTTGTGAGGTTTGGAACACATCCACAGCGACTTTCGCCATGTTCATAAAGGACACAGTCTAGCCCAGAATCAAGGAGTGTGAGAAAAGACTACATTTCTTTTCTTTCCTTTTCTTTTCTCTTCTCTTCTTTTTGAGACAGGGTTTCTCTGTGCAGTTTTGGAGCCTGTCCTGGAACTCGATCTGTAGACCAGGCTGGCTTCAAACTCACAGAGATCCACCTGCCTCTGCCTCCCGAGTGCTGGGTTTAAAGGCATGCGCCATCACTGCCCGGCAAGACTGCATTTCTTTTTTTTTTTTTATAATTTAATTTAATTTTACATATCAGCCATGGATTCCCTTGTCCTCCCCCCTCCCGCCCCCTCTTTCCCCCACAGCCCACCCTCCATTCCCATCTCCTCCAGGGCAAAGACTCCCCTGGGGATGGAGTTCATTTCTTAATGAGAGAAGCTGGGACCATGTTACAGCTACCTAGTCCACAGGAAGTAGCACGTGCTCTTCCCATTTGAATAATGAGGAACTCAGAGAGAATATTGCTGATCTCATTCATGACAAATTTCAGTAAAAACCAAAACAGGACCAGAATCAAGGTGGTTGTTTGGTAGGTAGAGTGCTTGGGTTTGATCTTTCAGCAGCCACATGAGAAAGACGGGTACAGCTGTGCTAGCCTATTATCCTATCACTGTGGAGGCAGAGGCGACCACACTAACGCACGCACATGGACATGCATGCACGCGCGCGTGCGCACCCCCCCCAAAAAAAACAGCAACCACTCCCACCTCCACCGATAAAACAACTGAAGGGCAACCGCAACAACAAAAATCTCTATAGTGACAAAATCTCTCCAATGGTTTCAATCAATAATAACTTCTTCAGAGATTTGTTTTAGCCCTAATAAAACAGTTTGTTTGGAAAAGAGTCAAGTACTCACTTGTGGATTGTTATCAAGCAATGTAATCAGTGAGTACATTAACGTGCTAGTGAAATATATATGTACCTGAAATACCTTTGTGTAGACGACTAGAATTTCATTTGATTAGTTGATCAATTTATTTATTTTTGAGATAGGGTTTCACTCTGTATCCCTGGCTGGCCTGGAACTCACTTACACAGACCAGGCAGCCTTGAACTTGTAGAGATTCACTTGCCTCTGCCTGAAAGGCATTTGTCATCACTCCTGGTTCTGACTAGAATTTTTAGGATAAAAGCCTGGGCTTTGGCGGCTCCAAAACGCTAGGATTGGCCACATATTACCATGTGCCCATAAACACAGGAGTATTTGAGAGAGTAACAACTGAAGGAGTCCCTAGTTCTCAGTCTGTCTTCAGTTTAAATGTAGGAGCAAACAGACTAGGTGACAGAAAGGACACACAATTGAGCAGTCCTGTCCAAGGACTTTCATTGATGACTGTCCCCAGTTCTGGTTCAGAGAGACGGTCTAAAGGAGTCCTTCTTGCCATTGTCACTTGTGGGGGCCAGTCTGATTCCTCCAAGGGGATCATTTCTGCTCTGTGGTTTTGTCTTGCCCTCATGGGTATCTGCCTTATCTTGGGAGGTGGTCTGCCCTGTGAGAATTTGATCATCCTGGAATCTGATGAGGACATCCTCGCACTTGTAGGTTAAAAAGACAGTGTGTGACCCCCAACCTACTGACGGTGCAGAGGTGAGGAGGAGGAGGTCCAAAGGAGAGAAGGCGGGGTTGACAGGTGTGCTTTCTCCCTCTGTATGCCTTGTAGTTCTAAGCAAGCAGTCATGCCTTGCTTAGCAAAAGTAGCTACCAAGTGCCTGTTTGAGATAAAGCATCAGGAATAGATTGATGTTTTAGGCTGGGTAAAAACAGATCTTTTTCCTTTAATGTATATCAATGTTAAAAAATAAACAAACCTTATTTTTTTTTTGTTTCTTTTTTTTTTTTTTTTTTTTTTTTTTTTTTTTTTTTTTTTTTTTTTTTTTTGGTTTTTCGAGACAGGGTTTCTCTGTGTAGCTTTGCGCCTTTCCTGGAACTCACTTGGTAGCCCAGGCTGGCCTCGAACTCACAGAGATCCGCCTGGCTCTGCCTCCCGAGTGCTGGGATTAAAGGCGTGCGCCACCACCGCCCGGCTGTTTCTTTTTTTTTTAATCTGAAAAAGATACCACACTCCCTAACATGCACAGTTTGCATCCTCATCCTAACAGTACTTTTCACTGTTTACTTTTCTAGAATGTGATACCAGAAAAATCGATGCAGAAATCGCAGCTCTACAAGCAGAGCTGAGAGGCATTAAGAGGTGTAAGTATCCTTCATCTCTTATTCAGGCAACTTAAAGTTTGGGAGTGGCGGAAGGCAGAGATCATTCACTGCATGCATATGATTTTCTAGGACCTGAAAAAATTACTCATATTCTGATCTCCTGATATCCTCCTGACAATCATTCGGGAGAAACAGAAGCAAATGGGAATTAAATTACTTACTCAAACTCACGGAGCTCAGTGGTACAACCAGTTTATAAAGTGCAGTGAGTCTGACTCTGGGACCACAGTCCTGTAGGGCCAGATGTTTGCTCACCAAAAATAGGATGTGGGTCACTTTGTAATCCTGGGATCTAGACCAGGCAATGGAGCCAATCATGTTTCTCCAAGTTGTGGCCAGATATTCCCAGACACTTTTGTTTAATTGTAAGTTAACAGTATGGTAGAATTCAGAATTCTAGATTACATGTGCTCCACAATGCAGATCAAAACATACAAAAGCTTTGTGTCAAATGGGGCCTGGGTTGGGAGGAGAAGACTGGAGGGGCGGGAGGAGGGAAGAAGGGGATCTGTGATTGGTAGGTAAAATGAATAGAAAATTTTTTAATTAAAAAAAAGACTGTAAGGAAAATAAGATAACAGTTAAACTCAAATTTTAGCTAAACGAAGTGTGTTTTGATTTGTGTAAGCATTTCATAAGGGGTCTCATGAAGGAAGACATTCATTGTGGTATGTGCCACCAGAGAAACTGCAGTATACACCATTCAATTTGAATTTTACACCATGAGTGGTCTAGAAGATAAGCTGGTGTCACCCACGTTTTTATATCTTAGGGGTGCTCTTCTCTACGAGTGAACGAGTTGGAAAGAAGTACTTTGTGAACACTGGCAGAAAAACGAGCTTTAATGGAGTGAAGGCTCTGTGCTCCCAATTCCAGGCCTCTGTGGCCACTCCCAGGAACGCCGAGGAAAATGTGGCCATGCAGAAGGTGGCTAAAGAGATTGCCTACATAGGCTTGACAGACGAGAGGACTGAAAACCAGTTCTTGGACTTGAAAGGAAACAGACTGCAGTACACTAACTGGAATGATGGTGAACCCAACAACACGGGGGATGACGAAGACTGTGCGGTGCTCCTGTTAAATAGCAAATGGAATGATGTCCGCTGCTCGGACTCCTTTTTGGCAGTCTGTGAGTTCTTGGACTGAGGGTGTTTGTGTCTCAGTCCTCCTTGATGCCTTATTATGCCCCATAAGTCCACAATTGGTTCTGAAATATAAACGAGGTAAAAATATAAACAATTAAGCATTAGTTGCCCAATTAAACTATACTGCTTTTTTTTTTTTGGAATAGTATTTCCTTGTGAAGATGTAAAAATAAAATGAGTTTGGCTTCTTCATTTATGACAAACATGCGTGCTCTGCCGAGTTCTCTTTTCTCTTTGGGTAGAAGGCTTCCAGGATGTGACATCACTCTAGCTAATTCTGTAGTTTCTCAGCCCAGTCTCAGGTATTAAAAAGGCCTACTTAGAGCTTTATTTCAGAGATTTACCTCCTTCCCAATGAGACATTAAACTAGGTACAGAATGTAAGTCTCAAGTGAACAGATTAATGAATTCTCTCTCTCTAACACACACAATATCCACCCATCAATATATCATCTATCTATCTATCTATCTATCTATCTATCTATCTATCTATCTATCTATCTATCAATCATCTATCTACCTACCTGTCTATTTATCTAATAACATCTTGTAGGTAGAGGCATAGACACGTCTCTGACCCTAGAAACCCCTTAATTACTTCTCCTAGATACTGTTCCCAAAGGTAAGTGTGATTTTGATCTGCATTGTAACAGATTGATTTTATCTGTTTGTAAAATTCATAGAGACAGAATCACTGTATGCACTGTTTCATGTCTTATCCTTACCTCATTCAGAATTAAGCATCTGATATTCATTCATATTGTCCCAGACAGCAGCAGTTTATTCCTCCCATTGCTGTACAGAACTCTCTTATATTAAAACATCATGCTTTACCTTTTTATTCTTAATAGACACAATTGACTTGCTTTCATTTTTAGTCATTAAGAAAAAACTCTTGGGGCTGGAAAGTTGGTTCCACTGTTAGGAGCAGGTATTGCTTGTGCTGAGGACCCGAGTTAAGGTCCCAGCACTGTTATCAGACAGTTCACCAAGTCCTGTACCTCTAGCTACAGGGGACCCTCTTCCAAACACCATGGACACATGCATTCATGAGTGCATGCCAACACATACACACATAGTTAAACATAATAAAGATAAGTCTCTGAAAAGAAGAAGCCTCATGACCCTTCTTTTGGTAGAAGTATGCACTTACTTGGTGGTTGGTTGTCAGTGGTAGGAAAAGCAGGCATTTAGATTTAATTAAAAGGAGCCACACTCCCATCAACAATGTATGTCAGTTGTAGATGTTCTACATCTCAGGAACAGGTTGTACTTTGGTTCTTTGGATTTTGGCCATTCTTGTAGGTATAAAGTGATGTTGCCATGTTTTTGTCTTATTTCCCCAGTGTGTTATAATGATGAAAACATTCCATGTGGTAATTGCTAGCCTACATATCTTTTGTGATCTGTTCAAAGATTTGGATTTTGTTGTAATCAATCTGCACTTTTCACATAGACTTCTAGGTATTTTTTTTACATTCAGAATACAAATCTCTTCCATTGTGTCTATCATAGGCACTTTTCCATGGTTTTTACTTCTTCTGTTATTGGCTTTCAGTGAATATAAGAGCTTAATAAAATAACTTTTGTGTGTGTCTGGGTGTTTTGCCTGCATGTATATTTTATGTATACCACATGATTGTCTGGTGATGGTTGAGGTCAGAAGAGGTTAAAGGGCCCTCTGAAACTGGAGTTACTGATGCTTGTGAGCTGCCACGTAAGTGCTGGGAATTGAACTCTGGTCTCCTGGAAGAGCACTTGGTGCTCTTAACCACTGAGCCATCTTCCCAGCACCAAGAACGTAGTATTTTCTCTAATCTTTGAGATTATAATATAATTACACAATTTCTGCCCTCCAATGTGAGGAGGTACTTTGGACATTGACACCCTCATCAGAGGCCCAAACCAGCAGACTTACGGCTTGAATGTCCAGAAATGTAAGCCAAATAAACCTTTTTATTTCATATACTGCCTCAGATGTGCTGTGCTAATGCAAAGCTGACTAATTTAATCTCCACTCATTAGTTCTAAATTACCACTTCCTCTCCCAGGGAAGATGCAAACTCCTTGTTCTTTTTGTCACAAAGACAGCATCAGGAGGTTGTGAGCCATTGGATCTGGATTCTGGGAACTGAACTTAGGTCCTTTGGAAGAGCAGCAAGTGCTCTTAACCACTGAGCCATCTCTCCAGTCCACATAGACTGGTTTAAGTCACAGTTCGGGAGACATCCAGGACTTCTGGCTGTTCCAGGTCTTCCTTACTTCCATTTCAGAATGAAGTACGTTGGCATTGCATTTTGTTGCCTCTACCTGCATGGCTATTGACATATGATTTTTCTTCCTGTATAGGAAGATTTCCTTTGACAGCAACAAATATTTTACACAAAACTAAGAGAACTTCAAGTGTTTGAACCACCACATTATCATATACTACTGTCTCCTACTGCTACCCAGGATACTTTGCCATAGAATTCTTGTGAATTTCCAGGATTGCCACACAGTACAGATCCAAGGTTAGATGGTCAGACAGTGGGCAGTGTCTGTTATATACCCAATCCCTCTGATACCAAGAATTTAGGACATAACTCCTCTTGAAGACTTCACTAAAGATAGTTGTGTTTGTGATCCACATGAACAAAGCTTCTCCTCTTGATTCATGTGGCATGCCTTGTCCTGTCTCTGAAACAAGATGTTTTGTCAAATACCAAAGGCTTTACTACCCTACACTGGCATTCTATGTTTCCAAATGTAATAGGGATTTAAAAAAAGGACATGAATTAGACCTGTAAGCACGGAATGTCTCAGACTTTCAGACTCATGCCAGTGTTGGTCCACATCCACGAGCCTTCTCCACATATGTGGCTTTTATATTCCAAAATTCAGGGCTCTCAAATACAGGCTCTGGGCAGTATTTGTACCCTCAATGACTGGGGAACTAAAACTTGAAAGAATAATGGCTATGAACCTGCTGCTGCTCACCTCAGTTCACAGCCCTGGATTCTGCAGTTCTAGCCCTGGGTTTGGTCCCACTTATTGGAACTGACCTTGGGCAGTGATCTTGGTTTTCTGAAGAAGAGGCAGCGCCAAGTTCTGTGAGTTGTGTCTCCAATTAGGCATCACTGGATTTGCTTGAGGCTTGGCCTTTGGCCTCTGGGCTACTGTGATACTTGACTTTAGTCTCAGGACGTTAGCTGGTTTGCCTGAGCTATGTTTTGGTGATTTGCAGAGCCATGACACTGTGAGTTTGATTGAGTCCTTCAATATTATCTCCTCCTTACTGGTTCATTGTTCTTTTTCTGGCTGTGGTGTCAGAGCTTCAGGTTCTAGGGCTTGCAATGAAGCTACGATTTGGGAACTTAACTGATGAAAAAAATTGGATTATAGCCTTGTCCTTTAGGATGAGGAAGGTATTAAATCTTAGGTTCTAGGTTCAGGATGTGAGTTCTTGTATTTTGATTTTGAGTCTGTTACTAGACCCAAGGCTTAGTGTTCTTCCTCGTTCTGAGGGAACATTGGCACAGGGTGGGAGATGGGGGTGTTGAATGTAAGACAATGGAGATGATTGATTCAGCAAGATGATAGCAGTCAATGGATCAATCACTATCTACTTGGTAGACCTAAGTCCCAGATTAGGGTCTGCTCAATCTGGAACTAGATGTCTTCTAGAGTTCTGATCTTTACTATGAAGTTGGTCTTCCCACACTTATGGCCTCACTTATCAGCAATATAGAATCTTTTTTTTTTTTTGACATCAGAAAAATTACAGGCATCAGAGCAGCTAAGTGTTCAACATATTGAAGAAGTAACCAGTCCTTGGAATTCTCCTGTATTTGTTATTAAAAGGAAATCTGGAAAATAGAGAATGGTGATAGATCTAAGATCTATTAATAAGGTGATTCAGCTAATGGGCTCTTTACAGCCTGGAATTCCCTTGCCTTCTCTATTACCTAAAAGGTGGTGTATTACAGTGATTGATTTAAAAGTTTGCTCTTTTTTTTTTTTACACCTTTGCAAGAACAGGATGAACAAGATTTGCCTTCACAGTGCCTATTTATAATAATTCCCAGCCTGTTAAAAGATATTAGTGGAAAATTATTCCCCAAGGAATATTAAGCAGCCCTACCTTGTGTCAATATTTTGTACAATAGCCATTGGAAATAATTCATAATAAGTTTCCTAAATCTATAATTTACCATTATATGGATGACATCTTACTAGCTGATTCAGATGCAGATACTTTAGAAAAAATGTTTGAAGAAGTAAGAAAATTTTGCCTTGTTGGGGATTACAAATTGTTCCTGAAAAAATATGAAGAGGAGATTCTATTAATTACCTAGGATATAAGATAGGTTTACAAAAAATTCAACCATAGAAAGTAAAAATCAGGATAGATCAATTATGAACTCCTAGTGATTTTTAAAACTTTCTGGGAGATATTAACTGGCTATGGCCCACAATTGGATTGACAACTCCAGATCTAAATAATTTAGGGCTGTAGAGATGGCTTAGCAGTTAAGAGCACTGGCTGCTCTTCCAGAGGACCTGTGTTCAATTCCCAGCACCCACATGGCAGCTTACAACTGTCTGTAATTCTAGTTCCAGGGGATCCAATAGCCTTACACAGATGCACCAATGCAAATAAACAAATCATTAAAAAAAAACTAAGTAATTTATTTCAAATCTTACAAGGTGATAAACACTTAAGTAGTCCAAGAAAATTATCAGCTGAGGCTGAGAGATCATTGGCTTTGATATAAAAGAAATTACAGGATGCTAAATATGGTGGCACACAACTTTAATCCCAGTAAAAACCTGGAGGTCTGTATAGTCAGGAAGTGACAAGGAAGTGTTGTGGCTGGGCTTAGAGCCAATGAGAAGGCAGAACAGAAAGGCAATAAAAGTGCAGGTTAGACAGGAAGAAGCTCTCTTGGGAAGCTACAGTGAAGTGGTAAGCTAAGGTTAGTTGGTAGCTATTGCTTTGATCTCTACAGCTTATATTTCTGTATTTGGCTCTGTGTTTCTTATTTAATAAGACTGTTTAGAAATTTGTCTAGATGATAGTTCATTAAACAGCATGACCATTCAATCTAAACTAACTTGTAAATTTGACAAATGCTTTTCATTTGATCATATATAACTTGCCAAAAAGGAAACTCCCCAAAGTTAGGTTTGGGGCAGGGTTTTGCTTTTGTCTTTCCACAAGAATGAAGGCATCCAAGTAAGGAATCTGAAGACCACTGGACAAATGAGACTTCTGAAGAAAAAAGATGAATCATCCAAAGAAAATGTCTCAAGAAAAAGAATAAATTGGCCTATTGGTATATCACATTTCCAACACGATAAAGTTTCATAAATCCTCCTAAATGTTTGTTTCTGCTGTTCAGGGCAAATGGTCTTTTTGTAGTCCCAATTCAATTAAAAATTAAAGCTGGCTTTGGAGTTGGAGCATGGCTCTCTCTTTCTTTAAACCCAAACATCCTTGTTAAAGGAAAATCCAAAATCTCTGTCTCATGCCAGAAGAGCCACCTGATATGGGACAGAAGAAAAACCAAAATTAAGGGACTATTCTATTGACACTTAGCTCATAATTTTTGGTTTTATTTTGACTCCTTAAAATGTTTTTTAAGGTATAAATACTATCTCAAAATTTAGAAAGTTAATATATGTATATATTTTAAACTTTCTGTCTTGTTATTAATGGTCATAAAAAGTACTAATTCTAGAAAAAGCCTTCATCTTGCTTCCTGCATGTAATTTTGTGTTTGAGTTTCTGTTAGGTAATTAGGAATTAAATTTTTGTTCTCTGGATGTACTTAACAAATTATGGTCCTTTACCCTTTTCGAGATCTGCTGCATATGAAATTTAAAATGTTTAAATTTTCTGCAGTGAACTGTGACCATTCCTAAAACCAGTCTTTGAAGGCTCTGAAAGTATGATGGAACCCCACAACAATGATTCCACTTAGATTGTGGTAACCTCACTAAGCTGACAAGCACCATCCAAGAATCAGTTTTGCACTACAAACTGCTCAGGACAATTTCAAGGTGGTTAGCTGAGGTGTCCAGCCTCATGCACTATTCCAGCCAGGATTTCAGATAAGCCCTACAATTTCCCATCACACAGAGACTTGCAACAAAGGACACAGTTTGCTCTCTCAGGACTTGACCATTGTTTTAATTTTCTCAGGGCCCCCTAGAGATGCCATTACTCCCAGACAACAGGAAGTACTTTTAGAAACACAACACTCACATTCCCAAGAGGTGGGGGTGCTGGTTTTTGGTTGTTCAGTGGGTTATGGATAATTGTCATCGTTGTAGGGGGGTTGGTTACAAGTTGTTATTAGGAATGGTTAGGGAAAAAGCTGAACACAGGAGATTAGATTCAGGGATCTCATTCTGAAAAGAAAAAAGGGGGATATAAAAATGATAAGATAAAATGGTAGATCATCAAATCTACTTTTAAACCAAAAAAAAAAAAGAAAGAAAGAAAAACAACTACTAGTCTTAAATATTTTACATTGGTATGGATTTTTGTATATTGATAAAAATTTGAGGTTATTTTTGTTATACTGTATATATGTTTCTACTCTTAAGA